CCACATGCCACCATTTTTAGTAGAGACGGGTTTCACCTTGTTGACCAGGATGGTCTTGCTCTCCTGACTTCGTGATCTGCCCACCTCAGCCTCCCAAAGTGCTGGGATTACAGGCATAAGCCACCACACCTGGCCCAGTATGGTCATTTTAATGACATTAATCCTTCTTATTTATAAGCTTGGGATGTCTTTCCATTTATTAATGTCCTCTTCAGTCTCTTTCATCAGTGCCTTGTGGTTTTCCTTGTAGAGATCTTTTACCTCCTTGGGTAAATTTATTCCTAGGTTTTTTTTGTAACTTTTATAATTGGGAATACCTTCTTGATTTCTCTCTCAGCTATTTCCTTATTGGTATATAGAAACACTGTTAATTTTTGTATTTTGATTTTGTATCCTGCAACTTTACTGATTTATTAATCAGATCTAAGAGTTTTCTGGTGTATTCTTTAGTTATTTTTAAATATAAAATCATATCAGTAGCAAAGAGTGACAATTTGACTTCTCTAACTTGGATGCCTTTTATTTCTTTCTCTTTCCTGCTTGCTCTGGCCAGGACTTCTGGTACTATGTTGAATAGGATTGGTGAAAGTAGGCATCCTTGTCTTGGTCATTCAGTATGACGTTAGCTGCAGGTTTGCCTTATATGGCTGAGAGAGTTTGGATATTTGTCCCTGCCCAAATCTCACATTGAATTGTAATCTGCAATCCTGGAGGTGGGGCCTGGTGGGAGATGTTTGGGTGATGAGGATGGATCCTTCATGTTGTGGTGCTTTCTTCACTGTAGTGAGTTCTCATGAGATCTGGTCATTTAAAAGTGTGTGGCACCTTCCGCTCCACTCTCTTGCTCTCTTGTTCCTGCTTTCACCATGTGATGTGTCTGCTCCACCTTCACCTTCTGCGATGATTGTAAACTTTCTCAGGCCTCCCTAGAAACTGATCAGATGCCAGCACCGTGCTTCCTGTAAAGCCTGCAGAACCATGGGCCAATTAAACATCTTTTCTTTATAAATTACCCAGTCTCAGATATTTCTTTATAGCAATGCAAGAATGACCTAATAATACAATGACCTTTATTATATTGAGGTGTATTCCTCCTATGCCTAGTTTATTGAGGTTTTTATCATGAAGGATATTGAATTTTATTAAATGCTTTTTCTGCATTTATTGAGATGACCATGTGGTTTTTGTCCTTCATTCTGTTAATGTGATGTATCATGTTTATTTATTTGTGTGTGTTGTGCCAAACTTACATTCCTAGAATAAATCCAACTTGATCATGATGTTTTTTTTTTTTTTTTTTTATGTACTGCTAGATTCGGTTTGCTAATATTTTGTTGAGAATTTTTGAGTCTGTGTTTATCAGGGGTATTGACCTATAGTTTTTACTGTTGTTGTTGTAGCCTTGTCTGGTTTTGTTATCAGAGTAATGCTGGCGTCATAGAATGAGTTAGGGACAATTCCTTTCTCTTCCATTTTTTGGAATAGTTTGAGGAAAATTGGTATTAGTTCTTCTTCGAAAGTTTGGAATTCAGCAGTGAAGCTATCTGGTCCTGGACTTTTTTTTTGGTGAGAGTTTTCATTAAAGATGCAATCTCATTACTTGTTTTTGATCTGTTCAGGTTTTCTGTTTCTTCCTAATTCAATCTCAGTAGGTTGTATGTGTCCAGGAATTTATCCATTTCCTCTAGATTTTCTACTTTTTCATGTATAGTTAGTTGTTCATAATAGTCTCTGATGATCTTTTTATATTTCCATAGTATCCATTGTAAAGTCTGCATTTTCATTTCAGATTTTGTTTATTTGGGTCTTTTCTTTATCTTGATTAGTCTAGCTAGCAGTTTATCAATTTTGTTTATCATTTTGAGAAAACAAGTTTTCATTGTGTTGACCCTCCTTTTTTTTTTTTCTTTTTTTGTCTCTATTTTGTTTAGCCCCACTCTGATCTTATTTCTTTCCTTCTACTAGTTTTGGGTTTGGTTTGTTCTTGCTTTTCTAGTTTCTTGAGATGCATTGTTAGAGTGATTATTTGAAATCTTTCTACTTTTTTAACATAGGTGTTTAATGCTATAAACTTCCCTTCTAGAATAGTTGTTGCTGTATCTCATATATTTTGGTATTTTGTTTTCTCATTGCTTCAAGAAATTTTTGCATTTTCTTCTCAATTTCTTTCTTGACCTGATGGTCATTCAGGAGCATGTTGTTTAGTTCCATGTATTTGCAGTTTCCAGAGTTCCTCTTGTTATTGATTTCTAGTTCTATTTTATTGTATCTGAGAAGATACTTGATATGATTTTGATTTTTGTAATTGCTGATTCGTTTTGTATTCTAACATATGGTCTAAAAAATGTTCATGTGCTGATGAAAAGAATGTGTGTTCTGTAGCTGTTGGATGAAATGTTCTGTAAATGTCTGTTAGGTCCTTTGATTTAATGTGCAGTTTAAATCTAGTGTTTCTTTGTTAGTTTTCTGTCTAGATGTTCTGTCTAATGCTAAGAGTAGGGTGTTTAAGTCTCCAACTATTATTGTATTGGAGTCTGTCCCTCCCTTTAGATCTAATAATATTTGCTTTATGTGTCTGGGTGCTGCATTGATAGATGCATGTATTTTAAGTTGTTATATCCTGTTGCTGAATTGATACATTTGTCTTTAAATAAAGACTTTATCTTTTTTGTTATTTTTTTACTTAAAGTCTATTTTATCTGATAAGTATAGCTGCTCCTGCTTGCTTTTGGCTTTTGTTTGCATGGAATATCTTTTTCCATCCCTTTACTTTCAATCTAATGTGTCTTTACAGGTGAGATGAGTTTCTGGTAAGGAGCATATCATTGGATCATGTTTAATCCATTTAGCCAATCTGTATCTTTTAAGTGGAAAGTTTAATTCCTTTACATTCAAGGTTATTATTGACATGTAAGGGCTTATTCCTGTCATCTTATTAATTGATATCTGGCTGTTTTGTATATCCTTTGTTTCTTTCTTTCTCTCTTACTGCTTATCTGTAGTGCTAACATTTTATTCTTTTCTCTTTCTTGTTTGTATGCTCTGCTTTATCGGTGGTGTTTATGTTTGCATTATGGTAGATATCATTCTTTTCACTTCTAGGTGTAGGATTCCCTTAAGCGTTTCTTGTAGGGCTGGTATAGTGGTGATGAACTCCCTCAGCTTTTGCTTTTCTGGGAAAGACTTTCTCTTTATTTATGAAGGCTAACTTTGCTGAGTATAATATCAATTAATATCCATATTTTCTTTTAGCATACTTTAGATGCATCATCCTATTCTCTCCTGGTCTGTAAGGTTTCTGCTGAGAAATCCACTGTTAGTCTGATGGAGATTTCTTTATAAGTGACTAGATGCTTTTTTTTTTT